TGTTTTTTTTATGTTATAATTAAGATAATCCTAAGTTATACTGTAAAAATGTATATTAAATATCTAAACTTTGAAAAAGAATACACATCGTTTTCCACCGAGGTTTCTGTATTTATATATTAGTAGCAATTGTACAGTTGTATCTTACACTGTATTTACATACTAAGATCGAGATAAGAAGTAAAATAAATGCCTTTACTCAGATATTCTTTTATCAGGTGTTCCTAAAATCTTAATTTTTTTTCAATTATGAATCACTTGTAGCTGATACATATCTGTAACGCCTTCACTATCAATCATTATTCTATAGGATTTTTGATGTGTACATGAAGAGGTGGACGGTATTTTTCTACAGACTAACATGACTAGTCGTTCTAGACGCGTAAATGTGAAGTTCTAAATAGGATCACTGGAAGAACCTTGACTTCATTCATAACTTTCCTTATTAATTTACTAACTTACAACTATAGTTTTTCAGCTTGAACAACGACATGCTCTTCCCGATAAGAATCGGTTGCGGACCAACAGCTTCTAATACAGGTGTATATTAAAACAGTGCCAAATTCGATTTGGAAATTTCGCTCACTTCTCGGATTCAGTAATAATTTCGGTATAATCGTCGGTAGAACTTGCAGCTCAAAGGTCATCTCATCACCGCAATGTCGACATTTACCAATGCAACCACTCAACGGATATAACAATAACGGTGCCGAATTGTCTCTTGAATATCTAACGAAATGAAGTCGGATATATAATATATGAAAGATATATAAGAATAAAAACGTTAAAAATTTTACCGTAACAGCTGTCCAGGATTTCTCTGTATTCTGCAAAGAAAATTATGAAACATTTCGTCGCCGTGCTTAGGAATGCCTTTTTCATATTTTTCAACGTCTGTTTCGATGGTTTTAGGATTACCGGAATCCGGCATAAATTTGGTCGATGCGTCCGGATTGCTATGCTGATATTCGACCAATAGGTCTCGAACATGTTGAGACACGTCTGTACTGCAATCTTCCTCATCAACTGAGAGAAATATTTCGACGAACGAATATTTGGTTTCAGCGTTTGTAATTTGCAGTGGCAACGGTGTTACCTCGTGCAGTAAACTAACTAAATCACATTGCGGTCGTGTTGGAGTATCGATGCACACAACCTCGCTCTCATCTCCGTCGATCTCTGCAGAAGCTTGAGGAGAATCTAAGCGACCTACGGCACCTCCGCTAACTGGAGAATCCACACTAGCCGGACTGGAACGTTCGAAAAAAATGATATATAATTACTGTTATCCATAAGATTAATCATATATACAAACCTATTTGCATTTGGATCATCCACACGTAGTACGGACAATTCTTCTCGTATGTCTTGGTCTATTTCATTATGCAGAGAAAAATGAAACTGTAACGGATCATTCTCTAGCATGTTATTCCCATTTTGTTCCGATGCATTGTCATTTATGTTATCTCCCCAATCGTCTGCATCTGACAACCAGGCCGTTGTAGATGGTACGTTAACAGAATCTGGCACACTTGTCTTAGCTTCGTCCTCTAGGTGCTGTATTCTCAAGCATGTCCAGCTCTCGTTTTGATTCCAGCAATTTGAATTAATGCATGCAAATATATATAACGTACGATGATATTTTGAGTTATCTAGCGGAGCATACAATTGAAGTGCCAAGAGCTGATATAAACCACAAAGTCTGCATTGTGGCGATGATAATGTACCTTTTCCATAACAGTTCTAGGAGAGAGAAACGAGCAACGCATATATTAATTATTATACAGATTACATGTGTCAAGCAAAATAGTTACATTAATGTGATTAAAAAATTGATGAAATTATTTCACAATTGCAATAATAATAATAATAATAAATAAATATTTAAGTTGTATACATATCAATTTAACATTTTTCCATAATAACAGTTCTATATATAATTTATTTGTAAATATCTTGCTTTAGATTTTTGTAGTTTTGTTGAACAATTGCAAATTAACTCGATAAAAAATTAAGAATCACAAGAATCACGAGGGGCAAAACGGTAATTGCCGCGATGGTGAATCTCTCGCGGCCCTCGTTCCCTACTCACCGGATACCCGCCGATCTTATTCGTCGTGAAGTTGAGGAAGGACCGATGCTTGTCGGCGACGTACTCGTCCTCGTATCCGAGATATACCTTCGTACGATTGTCGCAAGCCATTTAAGTCATTCGATCGTAGCTCTACATTGGAAGACCACGGACGCAGAGCGAGGAACACCTGTACTCTCGTTTCTCTTACGACCGGGACAGCTGACACGCATCAGTAACGCTCGACGCGTGCGCCTTCGATTCGCGCGTCTCCCTTATCGATTTTTTTGGAGCTGCCAGCAGCGGCCGGACATTATCAGAGTGTTCTCGTTTCCTCGTGAGATCATTGAGATCGAGGGAATCGTCGTTCTCGCGCTCACGCCTTGAAACGGAGTTAACAAACTACATGTGCACGCGTCACTTATAATAAAGAAAACGTTCATTCCAGCTTTGCACTTTCTGTAGTTGAAATAAAACAGATATATAGTCAAATAACGGAAATAGAAAGAAAAAAAAGATACAGTGTAGAAAGAGCAACTGAAACAAATAGATCTATATAACTAGTCTTTAATCTTATATTT